GCTGCTCCTGGACGATCGTGCAGGGGCAGTATGTGTCCTGCGCATGCGTGGAAGCGCAGAACTCATCAAAACTGGGTAAGGACCGCGGGCGGGCGGGCGCGCCCTTCGCTGTTCCCGGAAGATACTTACTTCCGGGTTCGGCGACCAACCGGTTCGCAGGGACCGCGGTGAACCGGTTGAAACCCACCCCTGGTGTGTGTGTGTGTGTGTGTGAGGGTGTGTGTGTGTGTGTGTATGTTTTGCTAATGAAATTTTTCATTGTAAAGAACAATCTTGTTTGTGCAAGATTTCTTTGTATCTTAATTTTTTGCATCATAGCTTTATGCTCCACCCTTTAAATATATGATTGTGGTAATTTAGAATAAATATTTTAAATGCCATCAAAAAATGAAATTATTAAAATGTGACTCATTTGATGTAAGGTTCTGGGTTTTTTTTATTACTCTTACTATATGCATTTTTAATATCATGTTATTAGGAAAACTATAAGAAAATGTTTCCCTTTGGCTTTTTTTAAAAAAATAAACTTTTCTAGACATTTTGGATTTTCAAATCTTCCTAGCTTTCTTCAAACACACACAGACACACAAAAACGCACACACACATGGACCAGCTCACTTTTTCCCTAAGGAAATAACATTACAAGCTTACATTCCTAAATAAATGCAAGACTGCACAAGGCAAACAACTCTTCTTGTTTGAAAGAAATTGTTGGCTGGCCTTTCACAACTTCTTCTTGATCCAGAAATATGCAACAGCAAAGAATTAGTTCTAATATTTACCATTCCCTGTTTAATTTTAAGTTCGCCAAAATAGTCCTGCTGCTAATTCTTTATGCAGGTTGCTCTGTTAGAAACAAATACTGAAGATACAATAATCTATATTTCAGTAATACTGTTTTATAGACATGTATTGTATTTTTTTTTCAGAATTGTGAATTAAATCCCACAAATTCGGTAGGGCACTTATATCTAAATTTCAGTTCAGCCATGAAACTCACTTAGATCTTGGGTGCACGATTCAGCAAGATTGCGGACACATTATTACATAGATTTCAGTTTTGTGGATAATTTCTAAGAAGCATCCAACATATTATCATATTCAGGTAAACAGCCAGTGAACTATTTTTGAATTAATAAAGTTAATAAAGCAATAACAAAAAAGTAGCCTTAGGAATCTTATTCTATCTTTAAGGTTTTTCTTTTTCCATTTGTTGTTTTTGCTATGTTGTTGCCTTTATTCTCTGAAAGTTTTGTAACTCCAGGGAAGATGTTAGGCAATGGTTTCAATTAAAACAGATAGATAATAAATACCAAATAATGGCTTATAATTGCTTTCTTGTTTGGCAGATTCCCACATATTATTAGTCTATGATGTGGTGTCTTGGGAAATAATCATATACTCAATGCTCGTTCCTTAATTCATCTGTCTTTTCTCCTTTTTCTTGCTTTATCCTCTCTTCCTTTCCCTTGTGCACCAACTGACTTCAGCATCATAATTTTAATAATGAATAAAAAAATTAGCAATTTCCTCTTTATTGCTCTTGGCTTTGACATCAAACTGTTCAATGATTTGTTGGCTTCCAGAGAAAAAAATACGAATCCCTCTACCTCATTTCTGATGCCGGTTTGGGCCCAAAGGAATAGCAGAATTAGTTTTAAATGAGCTGGGAAACTGCACTTATTGGAAAATGGAAACAGGTCACCTAAGCAAAGAATACACTGAGGAGGAAACAACATTGAGGTTCAAGATGCTTGCTTGCTTTCTCGCTTACCATCCCTTGATAGGCAATTGGGGGTTGGGGGTGTTGGCAAACCTTGGCAGGCCAAAATCTGGAATATTCAGCAATTCAGATAATGTATGTGCAGAAGTATCGGTATCAATAGTGAGAATTTGCAAAGTATTTCTGAGTTAAATTTATGTTTTACCGACAAAGAAATAAGAGAGTAGTATAGATCTATTTCAAGCTATTTAGCTTTCATCAGATAGCCATACCCTTCTGGGACTTGAACCCTTGCTGCTTACATATTAGGTCTAAGCCCATCTAAGACCAGAAAGGTAGGGATGGCTGATGAGAGCTAAATAGCTTGAAATAGATCTATACTAGCCTCCCTTTATTTCTTTGTCAGTAAAACATAAATTTAACACACACACAAAATAGTTTGTCATGAAAACAAACCTGCGAAGGCTTCTAGATTGGGGCTGAAAGGTGAAAATGGAAGCAGTACACTCTGTCCCATAATTGGGTAGACCAGGTTGCTGCTGATAAACTGGTCCCATCGGAGAAAAAACAAAATATTTCTGAATCCGATAATAGCCAATTGCTATATCTCATAGAGTAGAGCTGTCAAACTCCTGGCCCACGGGTCGGGTGCATCACACGCTGGCCATGTTCACACCAAGTTTAGTGAAGGGGGAAAAAGTCCCCATACATCATGTGATGCTATAACGACGTGAGTTTGACACCCCTATCATAGACCTTTATTACAATTGTTCTTGCCAATATCAGTAGCTCAATGACTGAGATTGGCTTGTGACATGTATTTATTTTATTTTATTTTATTTTGTCAAACATGTACAAGGTAACAGGTATAAGTATAAACATGGACATGAACAAAGGAAATGAGTACAAATAAATGGGGACAGTAGGCACGCTGGTGCACTTATGCACACTCCCTTAGGACCTCTTAGGAATGGCGTGACATCCATGGTAGACAGTTTGAGGTTGAACTTATGGGGATTTGGGAATGTAACAATGGAGTCAGGTAGAGCATTCTAGGCATTCACTCTGTTACTGAACTCATTTTCTGCAATCAAGTTTGGAGCGGTTTACCTTTATCTATTGTTTGCCCGCGTATTATTGAGGTCGAAGCTGAAGTAGTCATTGACAGGTAGGACGTTGTAGCAGACAATTTTGTGTACTATGCTAAGGTCAGACCGCAGGTGGTGTAGTTCTAGGTTGTCCAAGCGCAAGATTTCAAGTCTGGTGGCATAATGGATTCTGTTGTGAGCAGGGGAATGGAGTACCCTTCTTGTGAAATACCTCTGGACTTGTTCATTTGTATTATAGTTAGCACAGGATTCAAGAACATCTTTCTTCACTGATATCTGAAGAAAGATGTTCTTTCCATCTCTTTTAGCATTCAGTCTCATTGCCACCAGCATCCCACACTCAGTTCCAGACATGGTTGGAAGACAAATAACATGGCTATCTTAGGGAAGCTGAGCAGGCAAGGGTTTAAGGAATGCTGACTGAGAAAACTCCTCAAGCATATTGTCTCGAGTTCTTCATACTTTCTTGGTTGCCAGCTTTCCCTTGATAGATTTCCAGATAGGTGGTCAGCTGTGCTCAAAACCTGTCATCAACTCCTGTGATGGATCTGGAGTACTTCGTGAGGATGGATGTGGCATTTCATTTTTGGTAAAATGGGACAACTCCATCCGTTTTAGAAGCCTGACATTTGAAAAAGCAATGATTAAATGCTGCCACTATTTGTGCAGAGGGTTTGGGGAGGGAAAAAATACTGACAATAGTGGTGTTGACAGGTCTGTCATTTCATACAACTTTTGTGGCATGATAAACTGGTTCCCAATGCACTGGGGTAGAATGCAATACAGTGAAAGCTGCAAGAAAATGTTTCCCATTTTCAGTCACAAATCTTTGCTTGCATGTACGATGGTATGTATGACCGACTAATCATGCAAGATGACATTTAGAAAAGGACATTGAATTATTCAGCACATGGACCTAATAGCAGACCTTTGGCATAATGAATTGTAAATGACCAGATCTAAAGATAATTTCCTTTTAAGTTTGTTTTAGTTTGGGTTATTTAAATTCAGATTTAATTCAGATCTTACTGTGTTAAGAAATCAATTAACTTTTGGATGTACATCTGTTATTTATTCTGGCTTCCTCTACCTTATTGTATTAATTTAGGACAGATGTTCGGAGGTTACATGTAACAATTTCATCAATGGATACAATGCAATCCAATGCAGGTTATTTTTAAAAGAAACATGGTTCAGTCTTCTTGAATTAAGTTGATTCCCACCCAAGAGTCATTTCTCCTGAGTAATGGTTATCAAGAATCAATTACAATATCAAGTAATGATTTCCAAATGTAGGTGAAAAAAAGTCTTTAAAAATTAATCACTACTTTTTTTTTTCATGTCACCAAATGCTAGTTCAAAACTCAAGTCATTTCTATGGATATACTACACAATCCAGTGTAGGTTTGAGGACTATGCACAAGTTATAACCTGCCAAATCTGAGCGATGCAGTGGAATAGCAATATCTGACCAAGTCTTCTTCATAGTGCAGGTAGTCCTCGATTTACAACAGTTCATTTCGTGACCATTCAAAGTTAGAATGGCACTGTAAAAAGTGACTTATGACTACTTTTCACACTTACAACTGTTGCAGCATCCCCATGGTCAGGTGATCAAAATTCAGATGCTTTGCAAGCAGTGATGTGCAGTGAGGTTTATGGCTGGTGAGGCACTGACACAGGGGTTTCACATTTTTTTAGACTTGTGGATTTCAACTCCCAGAATTCCACAGCCAGGCATGNTACTGCACTCTAACCACTGCGCCACCTCGGCTCCATGTACATGCATGTATATGACATCACAAACGAAGCTTTTTATTTTAGAGAAGACCATTGTAGTGTCAATAGAAGAATATTGTTCCTCGGGCAGAAAGTTCCAGATACTATCCAAATAGCACCTCAGATTGTTCAGGAAAATGGAATTATATAAAAGTTTAGATACTTTCCATAACATGCCATGGTGTGGAATTAGAATGGATAGCCTGCAGATTAAGGCCTAAATTAAGGGCAGGGGTGGGATCGTACCGGTTTAACAACCAGTTCGCTGAGCGTGGGCTTAAAGAAGACTTACCTTTCGGATTACTGTTTGGGAAGGAAAACAGCCGAGGCACAGTAGTCCACTCTGCCACGCGACTCAGCTGAGAAAATAAAGATCAGTAAAGCACAGGGGCAGGTGGGAGGGCCCACTTGGAATCGAACCAATTCACTCCCAGTGATCTTCGGAGCTACCAGTTCGCCTGAACCAGTCCAAACGGTAGAATCCCACCCCTGGTCCAGGGGTTCGTTTCAGTTTTGGTAAAATTGATGGACAACTGCAACTAAAAATCAGGGAAGCAATTTCAGAGACTCCACAAGGAGCCTTACATTTTCCCTCATACTTTCCCCACCACCCTTGCCAATCTCAAGAAGCCAACTACAAACCTTTCCCACGACCTTCCCTAAATACTCAGTGTTTCAAAAGCAAGGAACATTGCTTCCTTCCCCAGGCTTTCTATCGTGCATAACCTTACACAATGTGAATAATTACCTTGTTGATTGTAATTCACAGTGCCTCAAAATTGCCAAGTGGTCTCGATTTTGGTGAAATTTGAAAATGTGCACAATGGAAGATAAAAAATTCAGTCAGACAGATGCCACACTTTACATATTTATCCAATATGTCTATTATCATAGGCAGTGTGCTACTACTAACCTATAATGTAGAACATTTTTCTAGCCCAAGAAATACAAAGATTATGCCCTGATTATCATCTTTATCACACTCAGTGGTTGGTAAATATGAGTAAACTGTGTGTCTCCTAATGTTTTTTCACACCTGCTCAAGGAAGTGGCTTTCTCTTGAAGACATCAGCTGCCAAATAATAGCTTTCCAGTTAAACTGACAGGCCGTAGTTGCCTTCATGAAATAGTGCCTTTGTTTGAGGAAGTGGATTTCATTAGCTTTAATCCTTATAAATCTTTTGAATGCATATCCAAATGATCATCAGCCTTTTTTCTCCTTCCCTCCCTTATTTGTAAGCATGCTACAGTCTATAAAAGGAAATAGAGCAACACTTAACTCCACATAAACATTTGTTTGCAATCAGAAAAGCTTAAAAGCCCTCTTTATATCATATCACAAAATGACAAATGCTTCCTAGCTCTGTAGCATGCAAGAGAGGTGGGGGGAGCATGTTGACTGTTTATCCAATCACCTTCAAAAATGATAGAAGGGATAACAGAACACTAAAAATATGCCTCTTTCAGAGGGATTATTTCTTCTGTAATTTATAATGTCCTGATCCCAAATTCCTGCAACATTGTTTTTTTACACATGAAAACAAGGATGACCATCGGTTAGTAACTGGTTGTTTATTTATTTTATTGTCATTTTTATAGCCTGACTGCAGACTTGCTAGGTTGATTTAAACAATGTTGTACTGTTTCTTCACAATGGGTGGAAAAGGGCTCCATAACCATCCAGGGATTAAAATTGGTTCTGAACTATCTGAGATCCATAGGCAGGTATAGGGTATTTTAATGGTTTCTCCTTAGAATTTTTAGTGCAAATTCTGCCTTTAGGAAATCATTTTGAAGTACAGCAGATAACATCGAGTGAGGGTTAGGTACCATGCAGTTTTCATTCGTGCATCCTTTGAACATACATAAATGATTGAAGTAAATACAAGTTGCAGGATTCAATGTTTCACTTTCTTTTAAAGGACAAAACACAAATTACTTGCAATAGGCAAGCCAGCTAGAGCAGCAACCCCCAACCTTTTGGGTACCAGGTACCCAAAGGTACCAGTTCTATGGAGAGAAGAGGTTTTTTTGCAGACTAGAGTGGGCATGGTTTTGTATGCTGCCTGCATCCCACCGATGGAGCTTTGCTTCTGTCTATGGCCAAGATTATGGCATATTTGTGGCCTAATGTCGGTTTGGGGATTGGGGACCTTTGACCTAGATGAAGTGAAGAGAAAATAAGAATGAGAAGCTTATATACCATACTTCTTCCATGTTTCCTTCCAGGTTTAGAAAGAGTTTCTTGAAAAAACAAGTTGAGGGAAGGGGGATGCTTCTTAAATGATCCAGCTAATATTGTGGAGAGGAAGAGAGAATTGTATGCAGATGAAGTAGAAAGAAAATAGGTATGTTGTATGATAGGTGTGTATGTTGGTGTGTGTGTGTGTGTATTTGTGCATACATGCATGATGTGTTCATCTCCAAAGAGTTTGCAGAAGCTAACAAAACCTTTCCCACAGATGATTGCCTACTATGTTTTAAAGGATGAGATTCCCATATTTGCATCTTGGACTGGGCTGAGAAGCATATTGACAGCCAGGAAGAAGTAACATAACACAGCCTACTCAAATCCTTCAACGTTCCCAGAACAGGAGACAGCTGAGAGTAATACCAGCTAAAGCTTTTCAGGCATCTTCATGGGCAGCCTAATGTAGAACACATGATAGCACTCAAACATGCGATTGAAGAAAGCTAGGTCAGGACAGTAAGAGTGCCTTTCTATATCCAGGACAGAGTGGGTGCTAGAAATAAGCTATAGATTATTTTTCTCATCAAAGAGCAAGATCACAGTACAAATTAATTCAAGACAAAATTGCTTTACAAAAAGCTTCCATATGATTATTTTTTCCCCACTTGGAGAAAAAAAAAAGGCTATTAGCAAGAAAATCAGTTAAATCTTGTCATCCAAACTGAGCTTTAATTTCAACATGATGTACACATATGCTGATTTATGCCTCTATGTTATTTAGCCACCAATATTTTGAATTCAACTAATTTTGTTTGCTGTATCTACCTAGGTAAAGAACAAGCCTATATTTTTCCCTTTTTTAGTGATCTACAAATTACCCTACCCCAATTAATTTTGAATTTCTGACTACTCTAATTAAGATGTCATTCAAATTGACTAACAATATGCATTGCTTTGCATATTGTTAGTCAATTTCTTTAAACCATTTTTTTGTCTAGAGGATACGTTATGCTCTGGGAAGAGGAATAATCAATTCATATCTACTTTACGTATTCAGCATTTTTTAAATAGTAACTAGGATTCCAAGATCCGTCTCAAAGTTACTTCTGTTGAGCCAGTTGCCACATATACTATACCAGTGCACTTGGTTTTTCTTGATTAAATGTAGAACCTTACTTTTTTCATCACTGAATTTCATTTTGTTAGATAGCGCCCAATATTCAAGTATGTCAAGATCCTTCTGAATTTTAAGTCTATCTTCTGGAATATTGGCTGTCCCTGCCAGCTTGACATCATCTGCAAGTTTGATGAGTTCTCCATCTATCACCTCATCCAAATCATTGACAAAGATGTTGAAGAGTACTAGGCCTAAAACAGAGCCTTG